TCTTTGTAATTGGGTTGGGTGACTTGCGAGAGCGCACCCTTTTAGTTCGGACGAGGGGTTTAGTTAGGGCCGGAGGATCCTAGAGTTTTGTTTGGGTCTTCCAGGCGCTTTCCATCGCGCAGTACTTCTATACTATGGCCACCAGGTCGGCAAAGTGTGCTATGTCACGGCGACTTATGGCATTGAGAATTCCCTTGTCCGTGCAATTTTTGCAAAAGAATGAGATTGCGTCTACCTCGTGACAGTCCTTAACCTTGCTCATTACAAGGAGGAATCTGGCCTAGAAGTGGTGTACTGTCTCTTGAGGCTCTTGTATGATGTGGGAAAGATCACTTGTGTCTGGGTGGGTGGGTGGAACTAAGTCCACATCCTAACCCAATCTAGAACCCAGGGGCGAAGGAGCTCCTGAGCTTGGCAGCTCGGGCTCCAAGATATTGCCCAATATTTGCGGCCCGTTGCCCGAGTCTAAGTTCGGAGCCTGGGCCATGTCCTCCCGTAGACGGGTATCTGGTTCAGAGAGCTCGGGAATCCGGAGATAGTTCGTCCTCAAAATAGAGGAAGAATTGCCGTTTTGTTTCTCCACCACCGCTATTTGATGGGTGATCGGCGGAGAGTTAATCTTCCTTAGGTCGGGTTTAAGCCCGATCTGATCATAATCCGTAATGACTCCTAGGGCGGAGATGCGATCCTAGAGCTCGTTTAGGGAGGAGAGATCCATTGGATCCATCTGCTCGGTGAATTCCGGGCTGACGCGGAGGTTATTTTTGATGACCGGAGAAGCCATCGTCGGCGCGGCAGCCGAACGGGCGGTCATGACGAAACCGCCCAGCGGGAGAGTTTGGCCTACAACCAGGGATTCTCCGGAGGTGATGTTGTCCTCGACAATGAGGCGAGCCATCAAGCCTTATCGGGACGACACAGTGAAACTCTCAATGAAAGCACCAATGTCGGTGTCAAAACCGGCAGATCTCGGGTAGGGGGTCCCGAACTGTGCGTCTAGGGCTAATGGTATCAGGAGGCAGGGGACACGATGTTTTACCCAGGTTCGGGCCCTCTCGATGGAGGTAATACCCTACTTCCTACTTGATTGATCTTGATGATATAAGTATTACAAGAGTTGATCTACCACGAGATCATAGAGGATAAACCCTAGAAGCTAGCCTATGATTATGATTATTGTTGTCCTATGGACTAAACCCTCCGGTTTATATAGACACCGGAGGGGGCTAGGGTTACACAGAGTCGGTTACAGAGAAGGAAATCTACATATCCGAATATCCAAGCTTGCCTTCCACACAAAGGAGAGTCCCATCCGGACACGGGACGAAGCCTTCAATCTTATATCTTCATAGTCCAATAGTCCGGCCAAAGTATATAATCCAGCTGTCCGAGGACCCCTTAATCCAGGACTCCCTCAATCACGAAAAGTCATCACATATTCTCTATGTTCAGCAGCAAGTTTTCTTTGACGCAAGCAAAAGTAATCAAATGGGCTAAATTTAATGGGACAAAAGTCCCCAGGATCAAGCTCAGGAGGTATGGGTTCCTCCTTTGACCCTTCATATTGCACAACCAATTCATCATTATAAACATTCTTTTGACAGAACCTCTTGAGTCTACACTCAAGAGAATATCCTAGCTCATTATTTCGAATAGAAAAATCATTATTAAGTTCAGAAATTTTATCAACTAGAACAGTGGTAGGGACCTTTTTTCTAAGGTTTTCATTAAAAGCTACATAGTCCAAAGATTGGAAACGCATTATTTCCTCTTGATCGAAGAGGATCGCCTCTATGGGAGGACGGCCAGTGTCCACCCAATAGTGCACAAAAGTTTCTTTGGCTTCTTTTATTATAAATCTATACTCATGTGCCAAAAAGATAGTAGATGCGCGCTTAATAGAAGAATTCTCGATATTAGAAAATTCTAGGAAAATGCTTTGTATGCAAGGATGCATGTGCATACACCATCTTTCAAGTTCAACTATAAGCATGGCGATAGCATCCGCAAGAGTACTAGTTCTATGCAAGATAGAACTACCCATAGAAGGTAAAGCACCGGCACAAGTAAAGAAATCTTGAATAACCCCTTTTCCAATAATATTACCACTACCAATTCGGAACTTTTTAGTATGTAAGATAGGGGGTTCTTCAGCAGGAGCATCAGAATTCTCCATGTTATCATTATTGTCCATATCAACGATAATCTCCCCAATTTTAGACATAACGGCAGAAGAAGCAAGGAGAAAGAGAAAGAAGGAGGCAAACAGGAAGAGAGGGCGAATAAAATGGCAAGGGTGAAGTGGGGGAGAGGAAAACGAGAGGCAGATGGCAAATAATGTAATGCAAGGGAGATGAGTTTGTGATGGGTACTTGGTATGTCTTGACTTGAGCGAAGACCTCTCCGGCAACGACGCCAGAAATCCTTCTTGCTACGTCTTGAGCTTGCATTGGTTTTCCTTGAAGAGGAGAGGCTGATGCAGCAAAGTAGCATAAGTATTTCCCTCAGTTTTTGAGAACCAAGGTATCAATCCAGTAGGAGGCTCCTCAAAAGTCCCACGCACCTACACAAACAAACAAGAACCTCGCAACCAATGCAATAAAGGGGTTGTCAATCCCTTCATGACCACTTGCGAAAGTGAGATTTGATAGAGATAATATGATAAGATAAATATTTTTGGTATTTTTACGATATAGATTCGAAAATAAAAGATGCAAATAAAAGTAGATGGAAAACTTATATGATAAAAGATAGGCCCCGGGGCCATAGGTTTCACTAGTGGCTTCTCTCAAGATAGCATAAGTATCATGGTGGGTGAACAAATTACTGTCGATCGATTGATAGAAAAGCGCATAGTTATGAGATTATCTAGGCATGATCATGTATATAGGAATCATGTCCGTGGTAAGTAGATCGAAACGATTCTGCATCTACTACTATTACTCCACGCATCGACCGACTCCTGCCTGCATCTAGAGTATTAAGTTCATGAAGAACAGAGTAACGCATTAAGAAAGATGACATGATGTAGAGGGATAAACTCATGCAATATGATATAAACCCCATCTTTTTATCCTCGATGGCAACAATACAATATGTGCCTTGCTGCCCCTGCTGTCACTGGGACAGGACACCGCAAGATTGAACCCAAAGCTAAGCACTTCTCCCATTGCAAGAAAGATCAGTCTAGTAGGCCAAACCAAACTGATAATTCAACGAGACTTGCAAAGATAACTTAATCACACATAAAAGAATTCAGAGGAGATTCAAATATTTCTCATAGATAAACTTGATCATAAACCCACAATTCATCGGATCTCGACAAACACACCGCAAAAAAGAGTTACATAGAATAGATCTCCAAGAAGATCGAGGAGAACTTTGTATTGAGATTCAAAAAGAGAGAAGAAGCCATCTAGCTAATAACTATGGACCTGAAGGTCTGTGGTAAACTACTCACAACTCATCGGAGAGGCCTTTGAGATGATGTAGAGGCCCTCCATGGTTGATTCCCCCTCCGGCGGAGCGCCGACGAAGGCTCCAAGATGGGATCTCATGGATACAGAAGGTTGTGGCAGTGAAATTAGGTTTTCATGGTGCTCCTCGATGGTTTCAGGGTACAAGAGTATATATAGGAGCAAGGAGTAGGTCGGTTGACGCTCGAGGGGCCCACAAGGGTGGGGGGCGTGCCCACCCCCAGGGGGGGCGCCGGTCACCCTCATGGCCGCCTCGTTTTTTGTTTGATGTCCACTTCAAGTCTCCTGGTTTGCATTTGTTCCAAAAAAACGCTCCCCAAGGTTTCATCCCGTTTGGACTCTGTTTGATATTCCTTTTCTTCGAAACACTGAAATAGGCAAAAAACAGCAATTCAGGCTGGGCCTCCGGTTAGTAGGTTAGTCCCAAAAATGATATAAAAGTGTAGAGTAAAGCCCATAAACATCCAAAACGGGTAATATAATAGCATGGAACAATAAAAAATTATAGATACGTTGGAGATGTATCAACGGCCTTGGTGTTGTGTTAGTTGTGGCGTGGGGGCCATTGTTGTTGTAGTAGCCCCCGCCACCACCGCCGTTGTAGCCACCACCAGGGCCGCGGTAGGCACCACCGCCGCCCTGGTTGTAGCTGCCACCACCACCTCCGCTGCTGTTGTCGTGGTAGCCGCCGCCACCGTTGATGTAGTTGCTGTTGCCGCCGCCGATTACACCCTTGGGTGGGTTGCGGTAGCCGCCCTTGGGAGCGCCGCCGCGCCCCCGTGGGGCACTATTGGTCGAGGACTTGAAAGCCCCAGCGACTGTGCCCCAGATGGCAACTTGCACCAGGACTTCCTTAGAAAGATTCCTGAGCAGATAGGCTACTAGTTGCTGATCTTGGATTAACCAAGCAGCATAGGCTGGATTGGGAACGATCTGTTCCTTCCCTTCAGAGTTTTTGGAGGTGATTTTGGCTGATGGTTCGGGGATGGTTCCATCAAGCTTAAGGTAACCAAAGAGGCCTACCCCAATGATTTGGGATCGGGCTTGAGCAAGCCATAGCACATAGTTTGTGCGGGTTAAGGGTTCAGAGATGGTGTTGTTGTGGCCGGCCAAGGGGACTTGGCTTGAGGAAGACATGACGGGTAGGAGAGGGATGATGGAGGCTAGATGAAATGGAAGAGGAGGCTCTGTATACCATGAAAGGTTTCATAAAGCGTCTCAACTCCCGTAACAAGGGAGCCCGCGTGTATTTATATTCATATTGGCGAGGCCAGCTCTCGCAGAGGCATACATCGATAGATTACATCCTTGGTTTAAACAACCAGAGAGATATGGGGAGATAGAGGAGGATTACATCATTAACAAATCCACCGTTAACAGAAGGTTTAGTGGGACACTATTTAAGGATAGAGAATTGATACCGTTTTTATTATAGTGGTTTGCATGCGCAGGAGCATAAGCAGCATCTACAACTGCTTCTTCCTTCCCAATTTCTGGTCCATGAATATGCTCGGCTGAGAGTTCTCAGATCCAGCTTTGCGATGACGACGGAGCACCTTGCTTCCTGAAATCCGATCTCTGCTGCCTCTCCGCCACGCTCTCCAGGCCCATATACCACAGGAGGAGCCACACGTAGGAGAGGTACTCCCCGCCCATGCCTAGGCTCTTGGCATGCAGGTGCCCCCTGCACCTGCTCGCGGAGAAGCAGAGCATCTCCACCCACACACCTTGCATCACCTTCCACCTCCTGTCACCGTTCATGGCTAGAAGCTGCATTGCAAGGTTGGATGCGCGGAGAACGAATGCTTTTGTTGTTGCCGTAGCAGCAGCACCTTGCATGGCTTGAGCCCTAGTGTGTATCTCCTCTGCCAGGTCTCCTTCTTCACCAGGTGGTAGCATGTCATCCTTGAACATGTTCTGAAGCTCCTCGCATGCCTCGGAGAGGATAGTCACTCTGGTGCCCGCCATTAGCATTTCCGGGTTGTTCACGAATAGGTACACCAGATAGTTGGAAATCTCTCTGCAACTAGTGGCGGCATCGCAATGACCAGCTGCTGCTTCATCACCGGAGGCACCCTGGTCATGGACCTGGACCTGGACCTGCTGGTAGGAGCATATCTCGGTGGCCATGTGCCAGACCAGGATGCTCTCGTCGAACGGTACCTCCAAGGTACTACATAGCTCGTCGTAGCATCCTTCCTGCTGGATGGTCAGCTGACCTCTACGATCATTGAACGCCCAGTAGGAGGAGACACCCTGAATGTAGTCCTTCCACCCAGCTTTGACCTGCTGAATGACAAGCTCTGTGATGGGGAAGGACGACGAGGAGTGGTCCACGTACCAGTGCTGGTCCACGTAGTCCTTGCATCCACAGAACCCCGCCAGCTTGAGCAGCTTGCTGGGGGTTTTGCCACGAGCGAAGGATGCTATGAGGTTGTACTGGGCAACCCTGTTGGTCCATGTGAAGAAGTCATACTTGTTGCTGAAAAGGGCGTGCACCTCCAGAAATGCGGCGCCCCATAGCAAGGCATACGTCACCTTGACATCGTTGCCGTCGTAGCCTTGTTTATGGCTCTGGTGGAAGAGCGCGACGGCGGAGATGGTCAGGCACACCGCTAACACCCTGTTGAGGTAGGCATAAGCAGTTATGAGACCCATTTTACGGCTCTTTGTCCAGAGGAAACTGAGAAGCATGCTGTGCTTGGTGTAGAGACGGACGAAGGCGCCGCAGAGCCCAGACTGCAGCAGGTTATCTGCGGCGTTGTTGTCAAAAACCAAGAACATATGCAGGACTTTGAGACGGTGGAATAAGGTGGACGCAAGGTCTACGAATAGCCAGTGCGGGATAACCCGGAGTTGCTTGGTCGTGGCTTCTGTCAACTCGTCTACGGTATCGCCGACCTTTACGGTCGCGAAATAACCCTTGGCGTCTCCTACATAATCCTCAAGAGATATCTTGGTTTCAACATCAATTGGTACGTTGTCGTACTTGAAGGGAGATGAAGATACCAGGGTGTAAATACTAGCGCTTTTGAGAGCCATCGGCTTCTCGACGCATTTGAGGGTCCCGGCAATGAAGAGAAGAACGGCGGCTGTCAAAAGCTTGCTCTCGCCCGACCAAGACTGGTAAAACACATAGATGGCTCCCGTCACCTTGTAAATCACGGTCATGATGTGCCGCTTCCACAGCTCGTTATCCTCGATGTTGTAGGCGGTGATGGAGTCCGGGCCGGCGAGGTGGAGGAGCAGGACAGGCGCCCAGAAGATTTGGAGGCCGCCGTTCTTCCCACCAGCTGTTATGCTCGTCGGGATGGCGAGGACGACACGAGTGAGGTCGTCATCCCCGCCTGTCGTCTTCTTCTGCTGAGTGAGGAGGGCGGTGGCGAGGGCGGATATCGCCAGAGCATCGCTGCCAAGGAAAGCTAGCCAGATGAAGAATCTCAAGGACGACGGGATGGAACGCCTACGGTGGATTGCAGCGAATGCGAGGAAATACTGCAGGAAGAGGCTGCCGAGGACGAGGAGGCGGAGCTGCCACTCTTCCCACCATAGCACAACAGTTGAGAAGTCCATCATTAACCCCTCCAATGCAAGCTAGCTACGTGCTCGTCGTGGCTCTCAAGTCTCAACCTGCTAGCTAGCTCTTCCTTGTGGTCTGAGTCTCACACGGCACATGGATGGATATATATATACATACATTAGCGGGTTATTGTATATGTAACCATCGTGGATGGATACTTAATTTATCTTTACACCTATCTTTATTTGTAGTGGAGCCATGAACGTGATGCACATGATGGTAGCAGTTACGTAACCATAGAAAAATTCCATGGAGGCGGTATGCAAAAGGGCTCCGGTGAAGACCTGCGCCTGGTTGGCTCGATCGCATCGACCGGCTCTGCTGAATCGCCCGGGCATGGTGAATTCCCATATATGATATGCTTCAGGACCAGGCGTCTTTTGGAGCCAAAAAACAAAGCGCTGTGAGCGGGACTCTTTTGGAGCCAAGCGCGCGCTGCGAGTCTGCGACGAGCATGAGGAGAAGACCACTTGCGACTTGCGACGAAGCCCGACTGCTTGAGGAGCCGGGAGGTACCAGCCCGTCGGATTGCAGCGCCGCGAGCAGCACATGGCAGAGGCGTTGGGAGTCGCTGTCTCGGTATGCATAGACGCGTCCGTGCATACCGGCTGCACCGATTCTTTTCCAGTTAATAATTGATCATGGTCGATGAGGTCTTTCACAAGCTAGCTGGTCAATGGTAGGTGGTAGAACTCCACCAACCGCGATCTAATACATAGATCGCTCCACTGTGTTGACTGACCTCGCTTCGTCAATGTTTTATGTTTTTCCTAAGTTATTACTTGTCTTGGTTCTTAGTGGGGACGGAGATTTATATTAGCAAAAGAATACTATATAATGACAGCTAAAACAATCAATTCTTGAGGTAGTAGCTTTTTTTTCTTTCATATTTCAGTAGAAGGGAGACAGAAAAGTTAGCTCTAAATCAAGAGCTATGTGAGAGTGTCATCATACGTCGCTATTTATGTTAAATGTTAGCATTATATTAGAGAAGTGTCTTAGAACTTTGTGTGTTCCTTAAATTGTAATACTGCGGTACCGAATTTCGTAATAACTTTATATGGAACAGGTCAAAAGCCTTGATTCAATTCAAGTTATTGGGTATTTCTTTATCTTTACTATTCCTTAAGCCTCAGTTTGTACGTCCCTGGTTAACGCATCCTTTCGTACGTCGTCCGCTTCCCATCCCACATCCAATAAAACCGTCCGTCAGGCGAGTACGCAAGGTAAGTTCCATAAATTAAGCCCATAGCAAGGTAAGTTCCACAAATTAAGCCCATAGCAATGTAAGTTCCACAAATTAAGGAAATCTTGAGTAATCTATATTGAGAAAATTAAGAGGGTGCTTGGATACAAGGGACTATTTTTAGTCTGACTAAAAATAGTCTCTTTTAGAGGCTAAAGTTCCAAGCTAAAATCTTTTAGTCATGGGAAACCTACTAAAATATGTATTAGCTCTCTCTCTCCTCATTTAATTCCTCTTCTTAGTTCTGGATTGGAGGGTTTGGAGGATAATAAATGCTCAATAACTAGATTTTAGTCTCTTTAGTACTTGGATCCAAGCATGGGTGAGACTAGCAAGTTTTAGTCCCACTACTTTTAGTCATGGGACTAAAACGTATCCAAGCATGCTCTAAGCCCATATGCAATGTAAGTTCCACAAATTAAGGAAATCTTGAGTAATCTATATTGAGAAAATTAAGCCCATATGCAAGGTAAGTTTCACAAATTAAGTTAAGTTCCATAGTTTGTCAATTAGGTTTTGGAAAGAAAAACTTCGATCGGTCAATGGACATGTGTAATCTATATTTGAGACGTGAATCATTGCAATATTTATGTCTCCGTTTCAATGCACGGGTACTTAGCTAGTTGAAATTAATGTCTTGGTTAGTGTCGGCCGAATATCATCATTGAAAATCATTCCTAAATCGGTTTCAAAGTCTTCGTCGTCTTCTTCCTCTTTGGATGATGACGAGTCATCAAAGACCATCTTCCTTCAATATTTTCATCTACAATTCAAATCGCTTTGTTCAATCCAAACGGTTCTGTTTAAAAAGAAACGAACGAAAAAAAACCAGCTAGGCAAACCGGCGGACGCTTGAGGTGCATTGCTGATGCATCGGCCAACCGTCGTCGTTTCGGCCAAACAAACAAGCAGGCGGCCAAACGTGGGAGTGACTCAGTGACCTGTAGCGGTGCTCAAGCAAGGTCAGATTGGTGGCCGCCAACGAGAAAGAAGATTCAAAGTAATCTGACAAATCGGCTATGATGACGGCGGCGGCGTTTGGGGCGAAAGGTCTCAGCGTCGTGCAGAATGGCGGCGAGGGCCAAGCGAGGCAATGAGGTAGCGGCGGGGCCGGTAGGTGGTCGCCGGGAGGTGCGTCAGTGGAGAGGCAGTGACGGGGTGAGAGGCGAGAGAGGCTCAATTTTTCCTCCTAGCAGTAGAAGTTGAGTAAATTTAGGCATAGGATAGGCGGCGGAGTAAAAAAATATCCTCCTCTATTCGGTTTTGGGGATCACCTATGTGCTGGTTAGATGACCAAAACCGAATTTATCCTGCTCCAATACGGGATAGGGGATCGGTTAGAGTTGGCCTAAGATAGGTAGCTAGACATGTGAAGTCTGAACTACAAAACTTCATAAAGTTCTGGGCACCGTAAACCGAACTAAAAATTATGGATTATCAAACTTCATAATGCTCTCAACAGCAATGTTCTTAGTAGCTCATTTCCGGGGTTATATACATGGATGCACACGTGAAGCGAAACATCTACAGGAAGCAGAGGAGGCTGACTGTATATGTGATCATATAAACGAAGCAAAATTAATCCCTTTGCATGATAAGGACAATATTTTCTGAATTACTAGCAAAAGAGTTTGATACGAGGGTGAATTATGTATTCTGACTATATATAGAAATCCGATTAGTATAGTGGGGTTTGGCTTATTTATTATCAGATTCATGCATCTATTATGCAGTCAGGTACTAATTCCTGACTGCTCACCACACAAAAAATGTTCAAAATGGTTATTTATCAGAGTCATGCATCGATTGAGTACAAAAGGCTGGCACAGGCGGCCGGTGATGCTGATGCCAAAATGGTCAGGACCTAGCCAGTAGTGCAGCTTGTGGAAGCGCCAGAGAAGGGAGCTTTGTTTTTATATATAAAAGAAATGGAGATACTTTGGGAATTCTTTAACGTGAGTACGTGACCCTTCTTATAAATTGAAACTATAACGAATTCGCTTGGTCCTGTCTTTGCAAGCTAGCTAGTCCTACAGGTGATGCTGTAGCTAGTACTGCCGAAAAAGGATTCCCCCCTTTATATTATAAAGCAGCGAACACCAATACAAGCAACAGACACCACAAAACACCAGACCACACCACCACACAACACACCCAAGGCTGGATAAATCAGGTACGGGAACAACCACAACACCCCAACACTCCACGCATACAACAAATGAGCAATGAGAGCAGAGCTGGAACTAGTCGAAGTAGTCCACCATGACAGACTGTCACGGAGAGACAAGGCTGAGCTCGGCGAATGTAGGCCTCCAAGACGGCGCCTTCTAGAAGGGGAACGACACCGGAGCGCCGTCGCCGCTGGATCCAAAGGATCATGGCTTTCACCTGGATCCTTCGAAGGGGGAGAGTAGCCACGACGACGCCTTCAAGAAGGGGACGGCGTCCACGGACGCCGCCCCCTTCGGCCCGACCGGAGCCGAGCAGGGCATCTCCCCTGGCACGCACTCTCCACCTTCGAAATGCCATCGGTCGCCGAAGCACCGGCCGCCACACCGCCCGAGCGGCCATAGCAACCAGCCGACACCTGAGTCGCGCACCGCGCCCACAAGCGACGTGACAACCACCACCGAGGCCGCCGCCCCGGAATCCATGACCCTTCCGCACCCACCAGGACGGCTAATGGACGTAACTGACCGCTGAGAGGTAAAAGGCACACCCTTCACCCCAAAACGAACCCTTGGCAGGAAGACGGCCCAGCCGGCCAGATCCTGGCAGGGGAGAGGGTTGCCAGTAGCCGCCGGCCTCGACCCCTCCGCAGGCGTCGGCCTCGTCCACGCCGCGGCCACCAGCCTCGACCACGCCGTAGCCGCCGGCCTCATCCTCGTAGCAGCCACCACACCGCGCCACCGGGAAGAGGGACCAGGAGGCCCCTGCCTCCCTCCCCGGTTCACCCCACCATCACCGGCCAAACAACGGCACCCGCCGAGCCGCCGACGTCCACCAACAGGCCGCCAGCATCCGCCACATCCACCAGGGAAGGGGCAGAAGAGAGAGGGTCGACCACCACCGACATGGTGCCACCCCCACCGACCGGAAGGAGGCAGGGGCCGTCGCCCGTGACCCGCGCCACACGGAGGGCCAGATCTGACGGAGCCGCGACCAGAACCGTTCCCCAGGCGCGCACCTCCAGCATGCCACCCGACACGCTGCAGCCATGTCACTGTCGGCCGGATCCGACGCACCACCACGCTGCCGCGCCCGCCGCTAACGTGGCACCCCGGCCCAGCCGTGTCGGCCCGCTCCGAGTCCGCCGAGCAAGGGGCGAGATCTCCCTGCTGCCGCCGGCGCCGACCAGGCTTCGCTTGGCCACGCCCTCTTGCGGCGGTGAGGAGGAGGAGGAGAAGGCGGCGGCAAGGGTTTCCTCCCGATCGCGAGCGGGGCGACCCGGGAGGAGGGAAGGGCTTTTTGGTATTTCTTTCGGATAGCAGCTAGTACTATGATTCAACAATTTATAATTGTCTAATTAGGAACAGATTAGTTGGGCAGGCAGACATGGATTGTTGTTCAGATTCATGCACGCACCTTTTTTGATGTACAAAACCACTTGTAGTTATCAATCTCTTACTGCTCGTGGAACAAAGGAGAACAGGCTGGCCTAGCCAGCAGCGAGTGATCGATGCCTGAATTAATGTGAAAGGCACACCTGCCCCTGTAGAATACATCTACGATCCAGCACCAAAAATATAT